ATTTCTTTCATGTTCTCTGACACAGGTCATCATCCAGTCTTCTGTAATTTCTAGGTATCTTTGAATACCAAGCTTTGCAGTTTTCTAAGAAAGTTCTAGTTGAACTAATCCTCTCCTTCCTTCGGATCTTGGCATACAAATGATTAACATCAGTCTTAGGATGATGCATGTAGTGGCAAATGAGGAACTTACTCGTTTTGACATCCATTCATTTAATATAATGATGTTGAAACTATATTTCATCAGAATGACAGCCAAAGTGTTTATGGCTGATATTTTGTTTTGTGAATTCAACTGAGTATATGACACAAGGCGCACACGCCTGTAATATTCTTTTCTTATTTTCTTCTTCATTTGGATATGTTGTATTCAATTTCTTTCGCCGATTCCTATGTATTTATAGGCTTCGTTTTCTTTCAGTTCCCTGATTTTTTAGACAAAATCTCGTGTTTCTATAATTCTTCCTTTCTTGAACATTACTTTTGCTCATTTCCCTAATCCGAAATTCATACTGATGTCGTCACTAGGTGATTAAACACATTCTTCTTTACTTTGTATCCATAGTTATTATGGAACTTCTCGCTTCTGGCTTCTTGAATTCCAGTCAACTTTGATACCCTTTAACTCATTGTCTTCTTTGACAAAGAATTTGAGATCATCCATGTAGAACAGGTGATAAAACACTTCATTTTTTTTATTTTGTATCCATAGTTATTACTGTTTAATTCCTGCGAAATTAGGGCAGACAGAACAGAAGTGGCGACAGGGAGTCTTCTTGAATGATTACACGTTTGATATTTAAACCATTGGAAGTGGCAGTACCTTTGGTGTGATTTAGGTATAATGTGGTTCTCCTCAGTTTCCTGCTATATTTAAGGAAATTTACTATCACCGAAGAGACTTCGGACATTTCCAAAGCCTTAAGGATCCAAGAGTGTGTCATATTATCAAAAGTTTTACTGTAATCTATCTTAGATGCGCTGAGATTTCTACCTTTTTTCCCACAATTTTCAAGGATCCTTTTATTAATTAGTAGTTGCTCTTTGCAGCCATATAAACCTATTCAAAATACCTTTGGTTCCAGGGCAAGAATATTGTTTTCATCGAGATAAGAGTAAGTGCAGTTATATGTGGAAGACAGACAGGTTATTGGCCTATAGTTTTTGGATCATCTGTTTCAACCGTTTTTCGTAGAAGATATGTAATGCTTTCCGTGATCCATTCTGGTATTTCCTTGGGGTTATTAGCATTGTTAAAGTTTTGCAAGTTTTTTTTTTATTGTTTGGTGACAGATAATAGAGCCAAAAGATGAATATTTCGTTTTCTGGGTATTTCTAAATTGGGGATTTTGTTAGATCTTGCCTTGGTTATATTTTTCTAATCTTGCACAGGTTTATCATTCATTCTTGGTCTCGTTTGATCTACTCTACATTGGGATTATATTCCTTTAGCTTCCTCCAAATATTCTGCCAAAAAGTTTTCCAATTCTTCAATAGATTTCTTTTTTTATTTCTGTGACTGCTTTTTCAAATTCATTGAGCTGCATTTGGAATATCTTATTTTATCGATAGAACCTACAACATTTTTCATATCGTCTTGTTCTCTGTGTCTTTACCTGCAGTTTCTGTTTAAGAATTTTCTTGATCATGTCCTTCGCAGACAGTACTGATTCGCTGTATCACAGCTCATCAGTGCGACTAGACATCCAAATGCCTTAGGGCCGGGCCGAAACCCGACCGATCAGCCAGAATTTTTATCACTAAGCTATCATCACTAGGCAGAGAGAAACAGCTAATTCTAGCTTCTTGTTTTTTTTTTAGGAATGTAAACAAACGACAATCAGTCAGAGTGGTCCAATTCATTTTACTGAAGAGTTTTGAATTAGCGTAAGTGACTATTTTTTTTTTATAAAATCAGACTATCTTTCAACAGTGCTCAATTGAAATAGTGAAATTTCATTTATTGCTTTAATTTTATGTTTCCGCTTGGGCTTCTTTCTTTTCTGTGTTGAAACATTTGAATTTCTTGAAATCTCATCTAGAATTGATAGCTCACATCTGACTTTCTCAATTTTTCGCTTTAATTTTGCGTTCCAAGTTGGGCTCTTTTTGTCTATTGCTTAATCTTTATTTGCCTTGGTATTATGATTAGTAGTCGTAGTTGTAGTTGGTAAAGTGTTAATATAAAGTAAACTCCGAGGTGAATATGTAAGAGTCGAACCGAAGAAAAAAAAAATTCAAGTTGTTTTCAAGTACTTCAAGAGTCATGGAGAAAATGCAGATTTTTTTAAAAGCCAAACGCCAGCATTTAAATTTTTTTAATCTTTTTTTTTTTTTTGTACCACTTTTTAGATATTTGTCACTTTCGTTGTTTATCCCATTCTTAAATGTCTTGTTTTTCCACACTTGCGCATGCGCAATCACACACCCATTTTATTTTATTTTATTTTTTTTAGAGGGGACTTTTCTTTTTTTTTGTTGTTGTTTAAATTCGTGTTTATTAACACTTCCTTTTTTTTCACTTCTACCGTTGTCTTCTCTTCCTATCGCTTTTGCTTTTGATACAATGATTCCATTTTGATCGTCCTTCTTTTTATTTCTGGTATTCATTTTGTTTTTTTTCTTAAAACTTTCGGAATGTTTTTCTTGAATTATCAGTTAATATAAATTTTTTTTTATTTATTAATTTCTTTCCATTCTTTTTTTTTTAAACTAATTTACTGCATTTTATTTCCTCTTTATCATTTGTTCAAAATTTATTTCGCCGTTAAAAAAAAAAGGCCGACAAAAAGAAAAGCGCATTCTTTATTTTATTTGTTAATTCTTCTTAACTTAACAATAACAATAATAATAATAATAATACCAACGTTTGATGTGATAAACATGCTTTTAATGGCGTGTTTCTTGCTTTCTAAATATCTTTTTTATTTACCATTCCAACTTACCGTTTCTTTCATTCTGCCTTTTTTTCTTCCATTCTCCTTCCTTTACTTTTTATGACGGATACAGACGTAACTTTACTTAATCAAACACAAGGTCACAATTTTACGCACACACATTGAGGATTAAAGTCGCTGTTAGCTCGTTAACCATTGCTCTAAACTGTGTTGCACTAACAGTTACTAAACTGAGCTTAATAAAGCATGATACCACAGCGATGTTCCAAATTACTACAGCAACAATGACCTTCGATACGAGCTTATTAACCAATTTTATACTAAATTTCACGAAATACTAGACTCAAGAGCCACTCAAGGTAGAGAGCTATAGTTCGAATGATAAAGATGAATGTGGTGTTGGCTATAAATGGGAGAGAAAGTGGTAGGAAATTAAGATTGTGAGGATAAAGGGGGAGATGACAATTTTCCCATGTCGTGAAGAGAAGTGTCCCGGAAAGCAACTACTAGGGAGCCTGTTCGACAAAGTAGCAGTTCTTGAGGAAAAACTGTCTGAATCAAATCACGCTGATGAAGGCAGGTTCCAATCGGAAGAACGGTACTGTAAGTAACCTCCTAGAGCTCGAAATATGCTTCGGCTTTACATAACCCATAAAGAGTTGATAAGCCATAAAAATCAATCAATCCCTCAGTGGAACTTTTTTTTCTTACATTCGAATACGGAGGAAATGAGGGTGATTTGACTCTGTAAAAGTCTGAACTGGTGGAATAAACCCCACCCGAACATTTTCCATGGAAATATCGACAGGCTTGCAACGTCGCACCTGTTAGAAATAGCTTCTTTTTTTTTACAATGGCAAGACAATTATATTAAAATTAATTTATTTTCAGGCATCACTAATGTAGGGCACTCAGTGAGGACCAAATTCAGCACAGCAGAAACCTTGTTTGCAACTCGTGCGCTAACCATTGCTTCATAATCGATTGAGTAAAGATTATTGGGAGGACCTTAAAGGCACCATTCACTAAAGGCATCGATCTATTTTGAGCGGCAACAATCTATTACTTTAAATGGTAATGTTAAATACACAGAATTATTAACGGGCCGATAATATTAAAATCTGAAGTGGAAACAACATTGACCAAATCTAACAGAAACAAAGCGGCAGGGCCAGACGGAATTGTAATACAGATGCTGGGGACCTTAGACTATTTCGGTGTATACAAATTCATTGAAATAATAAATAAAACCTACAAAATTGGGGATATATCGGAAGACATAAGAAGATGGCTAACATTGAAGTGTTCCAGAAAGCAACTACAAGGGAGCCTGTTCGGCTAGTAGCAGTTCTTGAGGAAAAGTTGTGTGAGTGAATCAAATCACGCTGAAGACGGCAGGTTCTCATTCCAATCAGTACTTAGATGCGGGACCGATTGGGAACACCGGTACATGTAAGTAACCTCCCACAACCCGAAATATGTTTCGGCTTGAAAAGAAACAACGCGGCCAGACGGAATTGTAATAGAGATGGTGGTGGCCTTAGACTATCTCAGTATATACAAGATCACTGAAATAATAAATCTAGAAAACTGGGGATATACCGGAAGACATAAAAAAGGTATTTTCATAGCATTACTTCACAAACCAGGTGTAAACGAGCCATATATCCGAGTTGTGATGAATAGAGCGCGCAGCAGAATCAGACCGGAAATAGGATTAGAACAGTGCGGGTTCGTCAAAGATACTGGAACAAGGAATGTCATAATTATGCACAGAATATTATCAGAAAGAGCAATACAAATACAGAAATACCTGTACCTGTGTTTTATAGATTACGCAAAGGTGTCCGATAAAGTGGGCCTCGGAGATCTGTTTGGGCTTCCCCGAAACCTTGACGCATTTGAGAAGGATATTAGAATAATCTAGAATCTATACTAACAGCAAACTGACTGCATACGGATAGAAAATGAATTTAAGAGTTATACAAAAATAGAAAGGGGTGTAAGACAAGTATGTGTCGTATCGCCAGACATGAAACCTGTACAGTTCTGGGGTTGGTGCTCTGGAACCTTCACGTGGTGACCCTACTTAGACTAATCTTACCGAAGCAACACCGGGCGCTGGACGGCGGTTAAGTAGTCCGCTGCTACTCTCCGAGAGACCCTCGGTCGTCTCGGATCCTCTCCTTATCACTGAAACCGTCTTTCCGGAAGTTAAGTACCTATGGCTAGGACTGCGCAATCGTAGCACCACCTCAAGCAACTCTGAGCGCGGGCTCTGTCTTTCTTCTCTTTTTCTTTTTTTTTTTCGATGGATGGAGATAGAGGGGGCAGCGTCGTCTTCAGTAATGAAGGATAGCCTTAAGATGAGAAAACTACATGTCCTACCAGGATTCATTATTGGTGGTCATAATCTCAACATTATAAGGTATGCCGATTACACGGTGTTTATAGCAAACAGGGAAAGGAAACTACAAAAACTCCTACAGAAGGTAGATAAGGAAAACGAGAAGGAAGGGTTAAATATCAACTGCCAGAAAACAGAGTGCATGGATATGAGGAAAAGGATTGTATATCGGAGATACTCGAATCAAAGAAGAGCGGAAATTTAAATATTTGGATGGGGTGGTGGTTGTTTTATCAAAGGAAGGAAAATACGACGCTGAGATCTGAAAGCGTATTGGGATAGTCAAAGAATATTTCAAAAGCTAAGCAGTGTGCTAAGAAATAGGAAAATTTCGCTAGAAACAAAGAAAAGGGCACTAAACCGCTACCTGATATCTGTCCTCCTGTATGATAGTGCCTACTGGACGATCTCCTCAAAGATGAAGAGGATACTTGGTACAACAGGTATATAGTTCTACAGAAGGATTCTGTGGATACCGTGGACAGAATATGTGAGTAACAACGAAGTTTTGGAGAACAAAAAAGGAAACTAATGCTTAACACCAGGAAGAGACAGTTGAGGTTTCCAGAGCATATAATGAGGAAGGAAGGCTTGGAAAATTTGATACGCACAGGACAGATAGAGGGCAAGATTGACAGAGGAAAGCAACGCATATCATAGTGAATTTAATGGATGGCGGAAGAGTGCTTGGGAGAAATAACAGCAAAGCCAATGTTTATTACGCGCTACAAGTGACAGAAAGTTGTGGAGAGCCATGATTGCCTAAGTCCTGAAGGGACACAGCACATAGAAGAAGAAGCATTAGCCGTTTCTCTATAAAGAGACATTTGGCATTCCTTGACCGAGCAGCCAGTGCTGTTTTCGGTTGACATTTATAAAATCTTTCTTAAAATATTTTTTTTATGAAAACAGGTTTCTCAAGTCCAGTAGATGTTATCGCTCTTTCATGTATTGATGGGGATTTCTTTCCTAACTTTTAATTTGAAGTGATGTCGTTCGTTAGCATTTTGTTTATGTCATTATTTTCTCTCCGAATTACAAGTACTATCCATTTTACTTGTTACTGCTGTTGGTAGTCCCTAACGGATGTGATTTCACCTGTTTGATGTAGTTCTTTGTGCATCTGTAGCGGGCAATCTACAATGTTCAAAGTAGAATAATCTTTCCTAAGACCTTCCGGTTATACTCGACCAAAACTTCTTTTTTTTTTTTTTTTTTTTTTTCTTTTCTTTAGGAAGCGGTTGTATACAGTTGAGAGTTTAATTATTTCTGAACGAGTTTTGGCGCCATGCATGGACATGAAAATCTCGATTTTTTTAAAGCGTTCCACCCCAATCAAGGCGGGGGTGCTTCTAGCACGCAAGAATGTGGGAGCGAGAGTAAAGAGGCGTGATAGAGGAAAGGATGAAGAGAAGGGCAGGGAATAGTTCAAGGCATCTGGAGATGTCGATTGACATTACATTTGAATAGTTGGAGATTATAGCTATCAAGGAAACAAGTAATAGGAAGGGAATTCCACAGACGGGAGGTGCGAGACATGACGACTTTATTTAAGAACATGGCTTGAGTTTTCAGGTTTTCTTTTGTTTTGCAGCAAGTGGCGGTATTGTGTGAAACTACCTCTGACACAGCTTATTCTATGTTAATTTTTTTTTCTCATAGTTAATTTTTTTATCGTTGATTCATACGCAGGGATATCAAGAATGTTTGGCATTTATTAATTTCATATCCTGGATTTTTATAATGAATTCAGGGTATCTGCCATAGCTGCTTTAATTCCAAATCCCGACCATTGTTTCTGTTTTGGAGAGATTTATTTTGAGTTCTATTTAACTCACACTATTTCTAAAGGCGTCATTCCATTACACTATGTTTTGCGCAAACCCACCTATAGTGTATAACGTTGAAAATCATATTTTTAAGCTACAGCGAAATTTCTATTGTCCGTGGAATCGAGAAATTGATCAAGGACAGAAAGAAAACAACGCAAATAAAATGCTTAGAACAAAGCAGTACATTTAACACAATCGATTCCATATTGAGCACTTGAAAAATATTTCCCGTGTTGAACACGTTAGTCTGTATAGGTTGGTGTGGTTCGTAAATGTATCCTCATTTATTTATTCTCTGTTGCTCATCGACATTTCACACTTATTAAAAAACATGTTAAGAAGGAAAACCCCATCAATAATGGAAAGAGCGATAACAGCTACTGGACTTGAAAAAACTACTTTCCACAAAGAAAAAAAAATTGTTTTAAGAGAAAGATTTTATAAATTCCAACCGAAAGTATTAGTGGCTGTTCTGTCAATGAATACCAGATAGTTCCTTGTAATGGAAATGGTAATGATATTATCCGTTTCCCTACAAGGAAACATTTGGTATTCATTTAACGATCAACTGCATTCGGCTGTAATTTAGAAAATATTTCTCTTAAAATAATTTTTCCGGAAAATAGATTTTTCAAGTCCAGTTGCTGTTATACCTCTTTTCAATATAGATTGGGTCGGGTGGAGGCTTCCTAACCTTTTATTTGAAGGTAGACGAACGGCTAATACTATAATCACCATCTGTCTATATTTCTGAGATGAGGTATTATGTACATTATTTACATTGTTCAGACTATGGGAACCAGTAATAAGGAGTGCCAGAGAAAGCCATAATAACAACAAAAGTTGCATTATGAGCTCTGGTAAAAACATGCAATGATAACAGCAAAAAATTGCAATATGAGCACTGGTAAAAATGGTTGCTGAAGACATTAGGTTTATAATACCCAGAAATTCATACACAGATATCTTCAAAGGCGTTGGTTAGATCCAATGACAGGATCCAAAGTGTGAGTTCAATACCCGGTTAAGGCAGTGGAGAACTTTCAGAGGGAAATTAACAGGAGATAACTGATAACTGATATCCATTAAACATGGGACGTGGAACTAGAACAGTCTACCCCAGTGAGCGAAATAAAGGGTTCAGTTCGACATTCCAACCACCTGAAGAAGGCCGGAGCGTACAACGGCTGAAACGTTGTAATAAATATGGTGACAAAGATGAGGACAATAATCCGAATAATGTAAATAGTGTATAATCACTTTTATTATTATATTCAGCTTTCTAGAATCAAGATGGTTTGTGCCAAAGGGTTTTGTGTCTATCTCCGGAGAAAGTAAATCAAAATTTAGACTGGTGGCTTTGGATTTCTGGGAAAGCGTTACTTCCTAGTTGAACTAAATAGATAAGTCACGACGAAGGTTTTGACAACGACAGCAAGAATCAGCGTTGTTTTACGTAACTATAGCCAAACGAACGAGATTATTATCCCGAAAAACTCATCGAAGGAGGTTGATTCTTCTCGAAATTGTTGACTTATCAACATTTCAAAAAAAATAGGATATAGTTAAATCGCTGTCCGAAGTAAAAAGATTTAGAAATATCTATGAGAAACAAACCAGCTGTCGTAGCTTGAATCAAGGGCGATAATGATATTAAACCCGCGTACAATCCGCGTAGGCGTTGCAACATATTTACTCAGAAGCGTGTGCATTTTTTTACAAATCAAAGCCAAAAACCATCTTGATCACGAAAGCTTTAGTAACATAGACGGACGATTCAATTTGTCTCTCGGTGACCGTCTTCATTGATTTGACCAATCTTTTCCGAATGAAGGCAATCATTTCTCTCCACAACATTTTGTCATCTGTTGCTCTAAATAATTTTAACCCTTTCATCCCTGTTATATTTGAACTGCCATCGATTCACACGTTCTTCTTAAAGAGGTTACTCGCTGCCTCCAAATATTTCTCTTACCTTTTAATATTCTGTGAATGTTAAATTCTCTAGGCACTCTTTGTTCATTATGTGTCACAGAGATTTCAAGTGTTTCTTTCTGATTGTAAGTATTGTTTTCCTTGCAGTTCATATTCTATAGATTAAAAAATGTTTTTTAAAAAATACTATTAAAATTACTATTAAAAATTACTATTAAAATTACTATTAAAAAATTACTATTAAAAAATTACTATTAAAATTATTATTAAAAATTACTATTAAAATTACTATTAAAAATATTTTTAAAATTATTAATCTATATATTAAAAAATGTTTCCGCGGTACAAGACGCAAGACCCACTGTGTAACTGAATGGGGCAGCAGTATGGACAGGAAAAAAGAAGTATCAACTGAATATTAAGAGGATATGTGTTATGAGGCAGAATTTTTCTGTACAAGTTTGGACTCGGCCGTCGGAAGAATGGCATAAAAATACACCTACATCAAGAGGAGTAGCAGGAGGAGCAAATAGCAGCAGTAGCTTGTACTGAAAACAGTCATTCAGGGTTATATATTCTCTTCCCCAGTTCCTATTCTTCATTATGTTTCCCTATACCAAAAGGTAATAAACCTGTTAAACCAATTCTGGTTTTCGACTGTCGTTTTTGATAACTCATTTACATTATGGAAAATAGATAATGATCGACACTAAGAATTGAAGTGTTTGAGATTATAGTGTTCCACAAAGCAATGAGGCTTACGGCCACATCACGTTGAAACATCGGTTCCCGTACGATCAGCAAAGTTAAGCAACGCCGAGCCTGGTCAGTACCTAGATGCATTAACGCTTGTGAATACCAGGTGCTGTAAGCTTGGATGTGTGCGCGGTGTAATGGATAAAGGCCAGGAATTGTTGATCGGAGAGCCGAGTTCTAATTCCAGTTGGGTTCGTTATATTCTCTTAAGCGCAAATAACCTTGAGAAAATTATGAATCCACTTCTTCTCTTCCATCTATGGGTTAATTATTAAGACGTATATTACTAAATCATTATTATCTCAAAAAAAAAAAAAAAAATAGCATTGATATCGAATTGAGAACTGATAACACCGGGAGGGTCGTTAATAAAAATTAAGTAAAACGTAAGTCCAGGGATAAAAACCCGGTGGAGATACGCATGAATGTAAAAAGGTCTAGAAGAGTGGCTGTTCAAGATATCATTCATTTCGCGATCTGATAAGACAGATTCAATCAATATCTGTCTATATCTATGAGATGAGGTATTATGATTACTTAACATTATTTACATTATTCGGACTGTTACCCTCATCTTCATTGCCATATTCACAACGTTTCGACCGTTGTACGCTCAGGACTTCTTCATTTTTTTTGGGGGGGGGGCGTCATTTAGACGACAAATTATCCATAGCACCTTGTATATGAAATCTACTTGAGATATGGTGTGAGCTTCCTGATTGCTCACATGTTCTGTCAATGGTATTTTCAACATTCGTTTATAACCTTGGATGTGCGGGTGGTGAAATGAATACCGACACAGAATTGAAAATCGGTGAGCCGAGTTCCAAGTCCAGTCGGGTCCGTTATATTCATTTACGCGCAAATACCCTTGGCAAACATATGAATCCACATCTTCCCCACTCAGGTATGGGTTAATTAGTAGCAATTGGGACAGTAAAATAATTATTACCCCCCCCCACACACACCAAATCTCGCAGTTTAAAAATACTTTTTGGCTTTAAAGAAATTACAAAGGGTTGGTAAGCCGTAAAAAACAACTGCTATATAGAAAATTAGATTTTACGCAGAGGTTTAGCAGCTTTTATTGTGCTTTTAATGATATTTTTTCTATATATTATTGCTTTGCTTAGTTTCTGGGAGACGTCTTTCGCTATATCTATGCGTGTTCTGTGTGGCGCATTGTTTCGTCTTTCTCTCGTCGTATATTCAATCAGTTCTCTTGAAGTCCCGAAGGTTTATCTTCGTGATCAAAGAGAAAACCATGTTATAAGAGAATTTATAACTTTTAAACCGACTGACAGACGAACATTATAAGAACTGACGTGCGTTGCATTTAATCCAATAAGAATTTATTTATATTCAGTGTGAAATTATTTGCTTTTAACAGAACTTTCCCAAGGAAATGTTTATCTAAGATTTGGGGGCAAAGATGATAACTTAGTTCATAACAAGTTCTTCTGCTGCTCCCCCAGCGTGTACCAATTAGCTGTATGTCCACTGTAAGTACTTATCTAGCAACAACATGTCTTGATTGAGTACATATGAAATAAGTACATCATTTTCTCTTTGTATATTTATTATAAATGCAGGCAAGTACATACATAATAAATATGTCATTTGACTTACTTTTACCGACCCGTCCTCACCCACTTCGCTATCTGGATTGTAAGAGAGAGCGTATTTCAAGGCTTTATATAAAACAGATTTAGCTGTCGCCTAACCAGAACTTTTATGTTTCTTTTTTTTTCTTTTATATTATATATATATATATATATATATATATATATATATATATATATATATATATATATATATATAATTTATATTTTTATATATATAATTTATTTGATTCAATTTTGAAAAATTCTGTTTTTTCTCTTCTTTTTCCAACTTTCGATGACTTTTCTCCACATAGCCATAGCCGAAAGGATTAAGGCTATAGTTCCCAAATTTGTAGTCCTATTAATTACGAGTTCCATCCCTGGGTCTGGGTAGTACAGACTCGGATTCAATACGTGATTGACCATGGCTCTTCCCAACTTCCTATACTTTCTAGCTCATATCAGCTTTTATTTTATTTTTTAATCGCAGATGTGGAAAGTGTCATTTGTGTACACTTTCCTAGTTGCTAGCCAGAATCACTTGCTCTCATGAACTTTTGCTCTTGCACCAAGAAAACCCCCAAAATCTTTCATCTGACGTTTGCCTTCAGGATGTGGTGATCAGGCCTCTCCACTACTTCCCATTTTTTTTAGCTATCATCCTTTATGTTTTTATTGCAGATGTGTAATATCATTTACAGACAGCTTTCTAGATGGTAGCCAGAACCACTTGCTCACACAAACTTTTGGCCAAATACCAAGATAACCCGAAAATATCTTATCTACCGTGTCCCTTCAGAACCTGAAGATCATGCCTCTCCACAACGTCCCATCTTTTCTAGTATGTATAAAGCTTTATCTTTTTATTGCAGATGTGGAAAGTGTATTTTGCTCAGGCGTTTCTAGATTGTAGAAGAATAACAAGTTGCCCCAAATGCCAGAAAACCAGAAAATCCAGGACGTGGACGATCATGGCTCTCCACAACATCATATTGTTTGTAGCTCTTATCGACATTATTTTTCTTTTTACTGCAGCCCAAAATGAGGCCAGTGAAGTATTTATACGGAATGTTCGTTCTAAAGTCAAATATTAGGTTGGTGCAAAAATAATGACATAATAATGTCGTTTTTTGACGTTAAAAAATACGTTAAAAAACGACATTATTGCGTCATTATTTTTGCACCAACCTAATACCTAGAAATAACAAAAAAAAACCCACCAGCTATGCAGTTGTGTTCTGGACATTTCAAGTTATTATACTACACCGGCCCTGCACTATACAATTTATCAACCTTTGTAAAGACAACACCTGAGTAAAAATATATCATCCACCTTTAATAGTACCATCTGATTAAAAGCCATTATTCTCTTTAAAGGCATCAATATATTTTAAACGCATCATCTTGTTATCACACTTTTTAAAGACATCATTCACTTTCAAAAGGAATCAATACCTCATAAATGCATCATCCTATTAATTACATAGTTCTATTTTAAAGGCATTATCTGATTAAATACATCTCTCAAATTCATCATTTAATTTTGAAGACATCATCTAGGTAAAGGTATAATTCTTCTTTAAAGATATCAGACACTAAAAGACATCCGGTATCTTAGTGTATGGCCAAACTGTTTTAACATTTCTTTAAGACAAAACTAACTATTAAAAGGAATTGTGAATCTCTTTATATAAAAGTTAAAATATAGAATATAAACAAGGCCCGTTTTTCAAAAAAGCTTTAAAGTTGATAGAACCTTTGAAGCATGGCCGATTAGCAAGAGAATCAATATTTACGGAAGGCTTTCCTCAATTTTAAAGATCAAGAGAATCAACTTTAATTAGATGATATCAAAGTGATGTCGATGTCAAAACTTTCGTTGTGACTTATCTGTTTAGTGCAACGGAGAAGTAACGCTTTCCCAGAAACGAAACCGCCAGTCTAAATTTTGATTTACTTTCTCCGGAGATTGACACAAAATACTTTGGCGCAAACCGTCTTGATTCTAGAAAGCTGAATATAATGACTATGGTGATTATACATTAACAACATTATTCGGACTATTGTCCTCATCTTTGTCACCATATTTATTACAACGTTTCAGCCGTTGTACGCTCCGGCCTTCTTCAGGTGGTTGGAATGTCGAACTGAACGCTTTCTTTCGCTCACTGGGGTAGACTGTTCTAGTTCCATGTGCCATGTTTAATGGATGTCAGTTATCAGTTATCTTCTGTTAATTTCCCTCTGAAAGTTCTCCACTGCCTTAACCGGGTATTGAACTCACACTCTTTGGGTTCTGTCACTGGATCTAACTAATGCCTTTGAGGATATCTGTGTATGAATTTCTGGGTATTATAATCCTAATGTCTTCAGCAAACATTTTTACCAGTGATCATACCCTTAACTATATGATGTCATCAAAATTAAATGATGCATTTGAGGGATGTATTTAATCAGATAATGCCTTCAAAATAGAATGACACATGTAATAAGATGATGCATTTATGAGGTGTTGATCGCTTTAAAAAGGGAATGATGTCTTTAAAAAGAGCGATAACCCTAACAGGATGATGCGTTTAAAATATATAGATGCCTTTAAAGAGAATAATAGCTTTTAATCAGTGTCACTATTAAAGGTGAGTCATATCTTTACTCAGGTGTTATCTTTAAAAAGGTTGATACCTTTAAACAGCAACCTTTAAAAGAGATTGGGTCATTTAATCTGATGATATCACTAAAATGAAAGTGATGCCTTTGATCAAAAGATGCCTTTTAATATAGACTGATGTTGTTAAAAGAGGATGATGCCTATAAAACTAAAGTGATGCCTTTAATCAGATGATACCTTTAAAATAGATTTATGTCGTTAACATAAAAAGATCTTTTAATTATATGACGCCTTTAGTAAAATGATGCCTTCAAATAGATTGATGCCGTTAAATAGGAAATGATGTTTTTACAAATTCCTTTAATGAAATGCAATTAATTAGTGAATTATGCTTTTAAGAAGCGTGATGCCATTAAAAGACAGTGATGCCTAATTTACTCTTGGAAAAGGTTTGATAGTTTTAAAAAGGTACTCATGTTTTTAAAAAGATGATGCCTTTAAAGTAGTTTGATGCCATTAAAAAGAGAATAGCGCTTTTAGAAATTTTGCGATGGCTTTATTAACACGATGTGTTTCAAATCGATTAATGGTGTCAAAAAGTGAATGATACCTTTTCAAAGAGAGTGAGGCCTTTAATCAGATGATGGTTTATTGTAAGGATACAAATTGCGTACTAATAAGTTGTTGCTATTTACACATATTTGTATAGTCTGTTACGAGGTTACAGGTATAGGGCACACGCTGATGATTGAAATTTCTCCTCGCATATAACGTATAAACAGAAAATGTATTAAATAACTGTCCAGTTCGTTATATGTTGTCACTGTTTCCATTAAGATAATTTTCGTGGGCAGATATGATCGATCGAGAAAATTTGTCGAAGATTGTATGTTTATAAACAGTAATTTGGACTTTGCTAACTACACGCTTCTCTGATAATAGTATAGCACGCCAGATCAAATAAAGGTTTTCGTATAGGAATACTGGTTCGATTCCTGTCGGAGAATGCATATTTTCGACGAAACTTCCCGAAGATTCAGGCCGGTACATGTAATTAATAATGTTTAATTAAAAACAGAGCACTTACTTAAATAAATTGCATCTATAAAAATAACGTATGAATAGAAAATATATTAAATATTCACTGAATTAATACAGCACTCAAGCTGGTTGGCATTTGATGACATTCATCAAACAATGCCGAATGAATGTAGCTCAGTGGCAGGAGATCTGACTGACACCAAATCGGTTGGGTTTCGATCCTGGCTGGAGTCATTCGGATGTCTAGTCGTAGTTCATCGAAACAGTACTGTCTGTTAGTAACATATATATATATATATATATATATATATATATAATAAAGTGAACATTGAAGTCAATACTTAGAGGCGCCAGTCTGTTTCATGCTATACGCAATCGTTAGGCCACGACTCGTGGCCTGACGATTGCGTCTAGTATGAAACAGACTGTCGCCTCTAAATGTTCACCTTTATATTTACACGCGCTCTATCTCTGACACTGAGCACTTTATCTCATAAATGTAGCACACCTTAAGACTATATTTCTTTATATATATATATATATATTATGAGAGAGGTTCCTATTTGCGAACTGACTATCTCTACAAACGCTGTCTCTCCGATATTGTGCACTCTCCCCGATAAATTTAGCAAATTTTTAACTATATATATATATATGTATGTATATATATATATATATATATATATATATAGTCATTTGTATACACTGCTGCAGAATATGAGTATAAATGTGTGTAAGTGTTTGTGTGTCTGTGTGAGTCTGCAACAACAAAAAAACGACACTTCAAAAGAGCTCTCGTATCAGATCCACTTAACAAGTACTTGTAGCCCTCTTGAGTACAGGCCACAAAAAATCCCTCCTCGTAACTATGCAGAAAATGTAAGTCAGGGCTTTACCTACTCGGAGGGAGAAGAAATGAAAAGGCATTTTCTTAAAAAGAAAGAATTGCGAATGAAGACAGATAAGCGTTTATAAAGAAAAAAAAAAGTAAAAATTAGCTCTTCAAACGCAGTGGACATTTTTTTAACCATTTTTTTACTGTATAAGGCCCGGGGTCACTCGAGGTAGAAGGTTAAGTTAAGTGGTAGTTTATATGGATAGGTTAACGGTTAATTCTAGACTCGAACAAGTTAAGATTGTAGTAATCGGGGTAACATCTTCTTGGGAGTCTGTCCCGCAGAGCAGTGGTTCGCTGGACAAATCTGTTTGAGTGGAACTTCTCAACGATGGAGTATGGAAGGAATGTGGGTGGTTTGCTACAATGTAAGTGGACTGGCGGGTCCTAGCCGTGAAGGTTAGACCTGCCGGGACCAAGGAATGTAGTTCGTCCGGAACAGCATTCGCCATATCCTGCCTGAGAGTGAGATATATATATATATATAGAGAGAGAGAGAATGTGTGAGAGAGGTAGTGTGTGTGTGTGTGTGAGAGAGAGAGAGAGAGAGAGAGAGAGAGAGAGGGAGAAAGAGAGAGAGAGAGAGGTTGGAGGATGGAAAATAATTCTTCTCCGACAAGGACTCGGAGACACTTTTGAATTCTATCAAATCTGGAAAGTGATGTCAGGGTATCTCCCCTTCGAATATGGCAACAGTACTCCATTTTCAGCCTGTCTTGTCTCTTATAAAGGGTTTGGTTTATTTTGTTTTACGGCATATCAACACCTCAATGGGTCATTTCATGCCGACAACTTTTTATTTCTGGTAATATTTTTGTTTTGTCAAAAATCTATTTTTGTTAATATTTTTTCATGAAAAATGTATAACTGGTAATATTATTTTTTCAAAGAACGTATAGATGGCATCCTAATTCTTTCAAAAACTTACAGTTGGTAATATTTTTTGAAAAACATACAGATGGTAACTTTATTTTTTTCAAAAACGTATAGCTGGTAAGTTTATTTTTTTCAAAAACGTATAGCTGGTAAATTTATTTTTTTCAAAAACGTATAGCTGGTAACTTTATTTTTTTTCAAAAACGTATAGCTGGTAATATTATTTTTTCAAAACCGTATAGCTGGTAACTTTATTTTTTTCAAAAACGTATAGCTGGTAAGTTTATTTTTTCAAAAACGTATAGCTGGTAAGATCATTTTTCCAAAAACGTATAGCTGGTAAGATCATTTTTTCAAAAACGTATAGCTGGTAATATTATTTTTCCAAAAACGTATAGCTGGTAAGATCATTTTTTCAAAAACGTATAGCTGGTAATATTATTTTTCCAAAAACGTATAGCTGGTAAGATCATTTTTTCAAAAACGTATAGCTGGTAAGATCATTTTTTCAAAAACGTATAGCTGGTAAGATCATTTTTTCAAAAACGTATAGCTGGTAAGATCATTTTTTCAAAAACGTATAGCTGGTAATATTATTTTTTTCAAAAACGTACAGCTGGTAAATTTATTTTTTCAAAAAAGTATATCTGGTAATATTATTTTTTCAAAAACGTATAGCCGGCAACACTATTCTTTCAATAAAAAACGTATAGCTGGTAATATTATTTTTTCAAAAACGCACAACTGGCTACATCATTTTTTCAAAAACGTATTATCAAAGGCCTTGCTGTTGGACGTAGTTTATCGTCTTACCCAGGACGAGGATGTAGTTTGTCGTCATACCCAGGCGAATAAATGTTAGTATGTTTTTACATTATTGTTCATCAATACAAAAACCAAATGTCCTGAGTAAGACGTCCAGTAGCAAGGCCACTAATCAGGAGGTTTTGAGGAGCGTGGAACCACCTCTTAATTGCTGGTGTTCCCAGACCCACCCTGACCCGGGGTGGTTTCACTTGCTAGGGTCCCAACTATGGGTAAATAGTTAACCCCTAAACAGGAGTCAAAACACTATAAAAGTGTAAAAATAGATTTTAATACCGGAAATACTTTTTTCATAAAAAATTATTACCAGCAATACATTATTACCAGCAATACATTTACCAAAATATATTATTAGTAATAGATTTGGAAGAAAAAATATTACCAGAAATAGATTTTAGAAGAAAAAGATATTACCAGCAATAGATATTTTGCGGAAAAAAATATTACCAGCAATACATTTTTGAAAAAAGATATTATCAGCAATAAAAGATCTGCAGGCATTAAATAATCCACTGAGGTCGATATGCTGTAAAACAAACGAAACCAAACCAAAAGTCAAGAACCATTCAAATTTTTTAATCAATTGCTCTCTTTCTAGCTCGGAAATTTGGCTCAGCGTGTCCTAGATACACAGTTTTTCTCTCTCGAATCTGTCTTACATATTTATGAGGTACCATTCATTTTGTTTCGAATATTACTGCCACCTCTGGCTTGGTGATCCTGTTACATAGTTAGAGATACTTGTTAACATCCAAAGCTGAATCTGCAATGTTATTGGTACTGAGCTGGCATCTCTGCTTCAGTCACTTTCTCACAGAAGTAACATAGCTTCCCTTTGTGCCTTTTCTATAAATACTCCATCGTAATTGTTCTGATGAACTTTCCACTATTATCCACTTTTATCCCTCAGCGACCCCCCCAAAAAAAATTGTACATATGAGGACTAGTTAGGACTTCATAGAGACTCTGAGGTATTATGGTGGCTGTAGTAAGAATGGTAAGTAAGAATGTGTTGTTTTACTGTAAGGAATACTGTGGCATGGAAATTGCGGCTAGCTGAGTTTAAGATAAGAGAGACTGAAGACCAGCCTTCGTTTATCCCCCATTTCGGCCTTGTGCCACATTTTTATTTTTAAAATGAATGTTCATTTTTTTTCTCTGATACCAAGTCTTTATGATTTTAAGCACAGTACTAAATTGGCAGTAAAGTCTCATCATTTTATAGTTGAAATGGCTAGATGCAACCGTAAGTTCTATGCTGACAGTTTCTTCTATCGCACTTCTCGTTTGTGGAACTCTCTTCCGGTTTCTAGCTTCCAAGTCAACATTTCTCTGTAATAGTAATCTGTCTTCTTAATTATTGTTCTTTTCCTGTTCACTTTCTCTCTCTCTCTCTCTCTCTCTCTCTCTCTCTCTCTCTCTCTTAAGCAGTGTTTTTCCCATATTCTCTAGAAATCAATAACCAGTTGCGTCTTAGTGGCTTTATTGTCTGTTGGTGTGAAATGATAAAAGATAAATAAATGATGTAAAATTAATATCAGATAAAATGTTAGGTCTTTTAATTTATGTTTAAATAAGCATGTATTTTGAGGACTAGACCGGGGGAATTTTGAAGTTGATATGGCTGGAGGTAACCGTACGATTCTTGTGTTAAGTATGGATTTTAATTATACATTCCTATTGTCCAAAGGAGAGTCCAATAGTGTTATAAAAACATCAGAGAATTCCAGTAATATAACATTAATCATTTCTAGGATACAACGGTTCAAATTTTAATCTAACAATTTGACAAATTTGGAGTTACACCCGATATATATATAATGCAGAAAGCACTGGACGGCCGTTTCGTCCTATATTTGGGACTCATCAGCAGTGCGCATCCACTACCGAGAGTTGAAACCCTGACAGTTAGGTTGTCAAGAAAAGATCATACCAACTGTTAATTTCTATCATGTGTATAGCATTGCTTGAACCGGCTTCTAATGCTCTAGAGTGAGCGGCTTGGGGATAGTAGTCGTGGCTCCAGGGGGCACAGTCCTATGGCTAGAGAGAATCTCAGTTGAGTTCTACCACGGAATATGTGAGCGAGCAGCGCTATATCGAGTCTGGTTTGCAATCTCTTCGTCACCAAGGCACGGTGGAACGGTTGGTATGATGTTTGCTTCACAACCTTACTGTCAGGGTTTCAATTTTCGTTCGTGGATGCGCACTGCTGATGAAGTCCCAAATATCGGACGAAACGGCCGTCCAGTGCGTTCTGTTGAGGTTTCAGACTCGATGCATTACATAAATATAATTATCAAATCCTCCTAATAATTTCTGTGTGTGTGGACCAACTATAACGAAATCCTTATTGTTCGGACTATTATCTTCATCTTTTTCGCTATATTTATCACAACGTTTCGGCCGTTGTACGCTCCGGCCTTCTTCAGGTGGTTGGAATGTCGAACTGAACCCTTTATTTCGCTCACTGGGGTAGACTGTTCTAGTTCCACGTACCATGTTTAATGAATGTCAGTTATCAGTTATCTCCTGTTAATTTCTCTCTGAAAGTTCTCCACTGCCTTAACCGGGTATTGAACTCACACACTTTGAGTCCTGTCACAAATTAGAAAAATATTGAACGCATAGAACTAAGACTTCATTTCACTGCCTTTCCGTCGGCTATGGAGGAAATGGTATCCCTGAACCAAGTGTATCGATCCAATTTAAACTCTAAATTTACTCTTTCGTCCTGTGAAATCAGATAAATAAATTACTTTATTTTATTTTATTTTATTTTTTGTGGAATATCTATCTATAAAAGGCAGGATGTGTGTGTGTGTGTGTGTGTGTGTGTGTGTGTGTGTAACGAATGCACGGCCGCAAGTTTCGACGGATTTGCACCAAAATTTACATGCACATGCTCCAAGTTAGCGGGAAGGACAAGACCGATTTTGCATTTCCCAACTCCCATCGATAGTGGAAATAATCGATTTTTTCATGCTTCTACGGCAGTTTTCATTGCGGCCATTTTCTACTGGCCAGAGTGAGAGCCAATAGCTGGCTGCCACGAATAGGCGGGAAGATTCTATTGGCCTGCGTGAGAGCCAACAGCTGACTGACACCAATGTTAACTAGCATGCTAACATGCAAAAAAAAATCGATAGCTGCATTCGTCACAAGTGGGAAAAGTTTAAATCTGCATGGCACTTTACTCCAATTGGCTCATTCGCTTGCTTAAACTCAACGTTGATTTTGATTCCGCAGAACTGGGTTGGGTGTGAAAAAGTATTTGTTGTTAACATTCTTTTTTTATTCGGTTTTTCCAGTTACGAGTCCTTTTTTTAAAGCTGGTCGTTTTGTGTTCATTTTGTTTAGTTCTTTTTTTCGTAACAGATTTAATGTTTAGTATAGAGCTTAGAACAAATTCGCAGTGTGAGA